ATATACAAGATTTTTCACAGCCACCCCCTCTATTTTCAATAGAAGGAATTTTCAATTTTTCAAAGAATTTTCAATTTTCAAATGGCATCATAGCATGTGTGGAACGAACATCCAATTTCTTTATGCCTCAATTTTATGCGAATTCACAAAATAAATAATTGAACACATTCGTTATAAAATAAGGAAATGCTTGTCGAATATGAATAATTTATTTTATAAAGTATACAAAGTGCATATAAAGATATTTGCACCTTGTGAGTTTGATAATGTTGGTGGCAATATTCGAGTTATGACTAGACATAATTATTCGCTTGTCGAATATTCGAATACTCGAATTATCCGAGTTTTATTCAAGCACAGAAAGCGTCATGTTTCACTATTCACTTTATGCGACAATCGACTGTATCAACAACAAAATGTGGTCAGTTTTGGAGATAAATCTGATGTTAACACCATATAAACTTTTAATGCTTTAGAAATATAAATATTTTCATTTTGCCCGACCAAGTCGCACATTAACCCGAATTACTTTTCCTGAAACTTCAGGTTTATGACACCTTCTACAGTTGTATTTGGAAACGTTTTAGCTTCAATGGGTATCGATGCTGTGTAGTAATTCTAGACGAGCGATAAAAAATTTGTCGTTTTCTATTTAACTTGTATACTATTATTTATTATTAAATAATTAATGTCGATCTCCTGCCGCTCTTTCATCTGATTTTCTTCGCTTTGAACTACATATATTCAATTTACCATTAAAATAATTTTGAAAATTTGCACTTGAAAGTCTTAAGAAAAGGATGAAGCAATGTGATCAATTACTTTGGACTAAGTTACAATTTAGAAAAGAGGAAAAAAAGAGGCAAATATTGTTAGAGAAAAACTGTTAAAAGCAGGAAACATTCTTAACGGGTCAGAGCAAATGCTGTGAATAAATTATGTAAATATTTTATAGCAGACGAACTTTTTAGCCATAAGAGCGCGTGACTATACTTGGCCGTAATTCATCAGATATGTTACTACATTTCGAATTTTTTTTTCAAAAGAGTGCTTTAATTTCTAGGGATAATTAACTGTATTAAAGTAAATATTTACGTTCTTCTCGGATCAGTAAAAATAATCACTATTCTTCAACAGCCTTTTAATTAAATTAGTTTTTGCTACCGACATGTTTACTAACAAATTATTCACCCATTTTGACGCATTATCACTTTACGACTAGTTAAAGAAGGAAACAGTGATTTAGCATTATATGGCTTAGAAACCTGACATGAACATATCCTATTATTTAAATCTTATAAATAATTATGTGATGGTAACGAAGTAGAGTAAGCCAACACTCTTCCAATCAAATGCAATAATGAATCCATTATTAATGAGCTGAATTATCACTTAACTGAATCCTGCTGGTTCAGGTTCTGTGGTTTTCAACCACAGAAGAAATGAAAAAATCCTAACTTATAAACGCTTTTTTTCGAGCACCTCGACGAAGGTAACCGCCTTAACGAAGCCAGGCAATTAAATCGAAAGTTGCAACTATTCTCTATAATATGTCGTTGTAACTGTAAACCAGCCTGTCAGTATTAATCTCCCGAGTTAATGTTGGGGATTGGTCATACCATATAGGATATGGAAATAGACGTAACGAGAACGTACAAGTTATGGGATCTACTTGAAAACGTGTAGCTGTCTCGATTAAGTAGTGATGGGCTGCTGACGGTTCAACGCAACATACATTGTGCAAGATTTAAGCCTGTTAACAAGTATGGGGACAATCGACACAACGCACAGGCGAATAATTCCATAAGTGAAATTCAATAAAACAAACTGATTACTGTTGGGTTCGATCGGGTTCCAAGACCGAACGCGACATGTGGAAGCAATATGGTTGATCCATAACGGGAAATGTCGCACATTGCCAATTGCTCGACTACTAAAGCAATAGAAATCCCATGACAATTTAATAAATCTTGGAGTATTGCTATAAGGTTAAAAACTTTCAACTTAATTGCAAAAATGAGGAAACTATTTGGGAAACTTTTGAGAGAACCGTTGAAGAAATGCCATAAAAGTTTGCAAAAGAGACATATTTACGAGGAAACTTTTACTGCCTCATCCAAGTTCAAGATTTCTTAAAGGTCACTTTCGTATGGAGAAAAAGTACAAATAGTCAAGAAAATGGGTAAAAATCATATTCGTTTTATTTCTGTAATCGATTTTAGTACTTAGTAATGCGCAAATTTTATTAACTCGGATTTATTTAAGTGTCATGTCATGTCGGATTTATAACAAATACTAAATTAGAAAGCATACGATCTTATGAATGGAAAGTTGTTGAGTTGTATTCAACTCAATTTACCGCGTGGGAACAGTTTCCTCAAAAAGACTAATAAATCACAGTTCAGACACCATATTTCGTTCATGATAAAGAATTTATGTCTCATTAAATTTACAACTTCTTTCTTATTTTATATTACACCCAACAAAATAGTTATTGCATTCTTCATACTGTTATGCTATTCCAACATTTATTCATTTTTGTTTTTGCTTACAAAACACTACGTTTTAAAAATCAACTTAAAGGAACTTGTATACGTTAAAGAAAATCCAGATATTTACCCGTATTATCCACAACGTCTCAAAGTTACCTATTTTTCTCCTGTAGTTTGGTTGTAAAAATATTAATTAAGAGAATGTGATAACAAAAAGAAATTGGTTTTCCTATAGCACGTTGATACATTTTTTGAATTATTTTCAAACATGCAAAATTTTCGAATTCGTTATTTTGTAAAATGTCAAAACTTAAATGAGGCTTTCGCTAACTCACAAACAAATTAGTTGTGCATTTTACTATTTCTCCTGTAGTTCGGTTGTACAAAATTTGAATTAGGAACGTGACAACAAAGACATTGATTTCCTTATAGGAAGTTGATGCATATTTTCGGATTATTTTTAAACATACAATTTTCGATTTCGTTATTTTGTAAACTCTCAAAATTTAAATGAGGCATCCGCTAATTCAAAAACAAATTTTCTGATTAGAATAAATTAATTAATATAACTTTTACTTATTTCCCATCCAGTTCAGGAATTATAAATTGTTTCGCCAATACTAAAGACAAAAATCATAAATAAACATATTAAAAGAATCTTTTTAATTTTGGTTTTATAATCCTGTAAGATAAATGTAATTGTGTGTTCAAACTTTATAAATTTCTAATAATTTCTCAAATAACCATTAAATTATTTCAAAAAAGAATAAATGTGACACAAAATGTGTTTATAGCAGACAACAAATAAGGCCTCAAACCATTCGAATTGATTGTGTTAAAATTAACTTTAAAATTTAAACAGTAAAGTATAACAAAAAAAGTTACATTGATTCTACCTTATCAATGCAGTTACGAAGAGCATACGAAGAAAATCGCAAATAGATAACTTTGCAAATATGGCCAAAAACATGGTCGGCGCATATGGCCTTTTCTTCTCGTTCTTAAGAAATTTAGTTTAACAATTAATTAAAGAGTTCACAAATTATAGGAAAATGCATATAGAACAAATACTTTTCGCGCTTGTAAATTGTTCAAGTAAAACTATTTCTTCCATTCGTCGCATATCATGTATTAAGGCAACCTGTGTTTCCTTCTACAAGCGGATTCAAACAACAAAACAACGATAAATTAACGACGCACCTTGACAATAATATGTATAATTTAATTATAAAATGCGGAGTTTCCGTGGCAAATTGTGTATGAAAAAATCTAAGTAATAAATTCTTGTTAACCAAAAATGGGAAAGGAACATTTTGAAACCATCTTCAAAAACGTATTTTGGCAATATCAAAGACAATTAACAGGCTTCAAAATTGGCCAATAATCACTATATTCTGGTATTATTTACTGAAGACGTGCCACTTTGAATCGCGACTGTATGAAAACAACCGCTTGTTTATTAGATATAGAATATTAAAAGCATGCTCAGTTGTGACTGCGAAAACATTTGGTTCTATTTTTAATTTAACAACCACTTAACCTTCACAATGATACTAAATCGTTATTATTTTGCACAAATCAGCTCGTAAACCACATCAGTATTGATATTCCCATATATTATGATTACATCTTATTGCATAAAGAAGATAAATTAATGGTAAATGAGTATTAGCTTCTATTACTATCAATATTGTTCTATTCAAAATCAGCTACTGATGTAATATTTTGCTAATAGGGGAGCAGCTTGCATTCGAATTTATGAGGGCGAACATACGTTCAAATTAATTAGTCTATAACAGTTAGCGTTTGGCGATTAATGATTGAGTAACTATTCAAATTTAATCATTTTTAAAGTTGTTCACTTTGAACTGGTCAAATGGGTGAAATTTGCTGCTCACGTGGACCAAACTTATTAAAAAGGTATATGAAAACCGACGTTTCGACATTTAGACATAATTAAGAAATTAAGTGTGCCCAGTCAATGTTGAAAATTTTCACAATTTCCAATTAATTTAATACATATTTTTTATATTTTGATGATTATCCTGGTGTCTAAACTGTTGATTAGAATTTTTTGTTCCAGTTGCCTATTCATTTTTAATCATTGCACTTTTACTGAACTTGCAAGGCTTCATTAAGAGACAAAAAAGTTGGTACGTAGACAAGTTCAGCTAAAGGTTTATTATTTTTTCATCTTTTTGCTGTACAAAATGCCTGCATTTTCCGTAGTTCTGGATTCTAATTCTGCACCAGAGAAGTTTACCTAGTAAGTGTATAGTAACCAGTTTACACCGTATGTTCATTAGATTTCAACTACGCCAGCATTTTAGGATCGAGCAATGGCGTCGAACCTCTCTTCATTATTTAGTCCCAAAAACGTATTTTGACGCTGTTTGACGATCTGTTAATATAACTGAAACTCCCAATAATTCACTAACCGCGCCTTTAATTAAGTTGGCTTCTCGGCACTCATTGTTTGAAACTGAACAAAAGACATACTTCTCTTACCTTAATTTGATAGGAATTCAATTTATTCTTTGGAAGCGAGTTGAACGAACTAAAGTCTAAGCGACGGGTGAAAATTCCATTGGCACCTCCAGCAATCCTGAAACAATAAAATCCATTGATTTATATGGGGATGCTCTGTCATGACGTCGAATTGATTATTCAATAAATGCATAAACACCTCAGCCATGTTGGAATTTACTAATTCCTTCAATATTTAATAATAAAGGTGAAACTATCCACATACAATTTCCAATAAGTTCGCAATTTGCTGCGGAAAATTACAGATTGATAAAATAAACTCTACATCAGGAGTGCTTCTTGTCGACAACGGTTATTCCGCATAAAGCTTAAATCATCATAAAAATTATGACCATCCAGACGGTACACCACTGGATTGGTCCCTTCAGAGCACATAATACCCAACCAGTTCTCAATCATAAGTAATTGACTAGAATTACCATTAAAGTTGGACGGTAAGTTCGGCGACAAACTAATATCAGCCCTAAATTCACTTAGGTATGTTTGTTGGAGGAATTATTATTAAATTTTGAACAACCTTAGCTAACCTTGGCAACGAATTTAACCAATGGGTATCACAAAGTTTGTTGCCACAATGTTGATTCTCCACGGGCAAATATGCAGAGTTCGGCGAGCGAGTCGCGGAATTTGAAGTCAGTCTCCCAAAATTAACAAAAAACACTTCGATATGCTAATAACAGGATGTAATTCGGTAAAATTATAGTCTTAGCTCCGATTTGCTACTACTGAAGCCTTTCACTAATTACTTAAAACTAACTTGCGAACAAAATGCTTTGAGCTTTGAATCGAAACTTAGATGTTTGCGTCTTGTGTTTAGAGTTAGACTGATGGTGAGAATTTGGAAAAAGGTAAGTTTGAATCCAGAAAACGAACTGATTATCCCTGATAATAATCTGCAGCTTTTATTAGTCATACCTCCAAATAAATACAGAACCTTTATAAGATTTTGACTAAACAAGCTGCTTTTAAGGAGCAAAAAGTTCTTAAAAGCATTTGATAAATAAATGGATGAATAAAAGGTGTTCAGTTACTCGATTCAACCCAAAGTTGGAGCAATCTTAGGCAAACCTAGGGGCAATAAATACATTAAAATAATGAACACATATTTTTTTTATTTTTCTGGTATTTGGTGTTTCGTAAAAAGAGTATCTTTTCCATTTTCCAAATCCATTCGAACCCAACTTGTGTCTAGCAACAGATGCAATTTTGTTACAAATTCATAAAAAAATGAATGCTATTTCCTATACCAACTCCCATGAAAATCGCAGAGCTTACAGACAGCTGCATAACAAACACCATTGACTATCAAACTATAATCTTGTATTTAAAAAATAACATTAATTAAGCTGTAATTTCTTCAGTTTCCCGGTTGAACGTCACGGTGGACATGAATGTACACAGACTATAGTGCCTACTGAAAGTCCTATTATGCAAATGAAAACACATTTTCAAATGGCAGTAGAAACCACTTTGACTTAGGTTTTAATACGTGATTAGCTGCTAAATTGATATTGGTCAAGTGATTGAAATACGTATGCTCATGTAAAATAATTAAAAGATGCTTGTGGCGCTTATGCAAATGTTAAGGACGTAATTATTCGTTTATAGTGCCTATTGGTTACAAATTATTTACAGTTGAGAATGTGGCTATTGAAATTTTAAACGAATCAAAAAATACCAAGAAGTGAAAGTGTGAAAGATATTTGACGATAACTGATACATTTTGAAGCTACGCAACTTAACTTGTCTGCGATTAAAATTTGAACAATTGCATAATTCATGTAAACTCTTCCTCGAAAAACGGCAGAAGCATCGTATCAGCTTCATTAATTCAAATCATCAAAGTATAAGAAAAATTGTAGCAACTTATTAAGCAGCCGACTTTTTACTCCTTTCTAGTTCGATTTTTACTCGATTATTATTAGAGGTTTTCGCTTTGACATTAAAAGTAAAAAACGAAATTTCGATATAATCATTTTCTGGTAAATTAACACACTAACCATAGAATAAGTTATTTGGGTTAAATGTTTCAATAATTCTAACTAATGAATCCCACAATTCAAGAAATTGACAAAATACTTTAATTAATAAAAACCTTATTTAGAAAAATATTTAGAGCCTAATGTGTGTTAAAAAGCACTCGATTAGGCATTATGCTATCAAGGTAATAGCAAATAGAAATAAAACACTATTAAATTTTAGCAGAAAGTCCGAAATTTTGACAGGAATGTTTTATATAATTCCAGAACAAAAATAAAATTGAAGAACAGCTGAAATGTGTCCGAAAATACTTAAGCTATAGGAAAAATCCATTTACACATATATTTTGTAGATAAACAGAGCGCTTATAATATCACAACTTAAAGGGCTTGTTTTCATTTTGGGATTAGCATGTAAAAATAATCGGATCTTAATATAATTGGCTGTATATCGCTTCTCGAGATTTACACAAGAAACAAAACACCATTCTAAAACAAAATTTCCGACCAATGATGACATGAACTATAGAAAATCAATAACACGTCTAGTTTAGTTTAAGAAAATGCTTTGTTTTGTCGCTAACTATTAACTACATCTAAAAAGCAAGAATGAAAATAGCTATTCAATAAGCTAATTTCAATTAAATGGTCTAAACATTTGCAGGTTATTATTACATACAGAATAACCATAGAACAAGATAATGTTTTTCCGATAACTAAAATAAAGAAAATAATCTTTTCACTAATCAAGAACATTTACTCATTCATTTTAAAGACCCTACAGGTCCGAAACCTGTTTCACCGTGTCTGCTCCTACTAATTCGGAAAGCGACTGGTGCAGTTTGTTCCATATTTTTCACTTTTTCTGTGATTTCAGGTTAAAAATTCTGGACCCTTCCCAATTTCGCTGCACACTGGTGCGAACCTATCCACTTTATTCCACATTTAGTTAGTTACTTTCTACATTTGCAAAGTGAATGTTTAGCGGTAAAGCGCCAAAAGCACATTCAGTTCAGTCAATGGTTCGTTTCATTTTCTCGGAAAATATTATTTGAAATTGCCTACAATTGATTTCCAGGAATTCCAGCATAATAATAAAACATCGTTTATGAAATACGAAGAGCAGGAAAAAATATCAAATGCAGCTGCACTTTTCAAGGATGTCTGTGGTTGTTTTGATCTGCAACTGGAACACTGGAATAGTGTTTACTATATTTACAGGTTTGTTTGATACTTTTAACCAAGGTCAGCAATTGTTTTGTTGGGTTTTATGCATACTTGCGAATACCGTGAGGCAGTTTAGCTCGGATTTCACATATTTGCTAAGGCATATTATACAAAATTTACCACACCAAACTTTGTTGCCTTGGTTAATTTAAATTCCTATTTAAAAGAGTTTAATTCTTATTATACGTGTTTTTGTAGACAGAACCCATTTTGACATACATAGACAACAAAATATGTATACTTGGTACAGCTAGAATGAGTAAATGGGAAAACCCGTTAATATAAGATGTTTCTTGCATTTTTGCACACATATTCTATATGGAAATACTGTTACACTTAGATAAGTTCTCTTAAGCCCGACTTGAAGGATCCTTAAGAGATCATTGTATCTAAATATTAAAGGAGCACAGATGGATCTTAATAGGAAAATGACAAAGTTGAACTATTAAAAAGCTTTCGGAGCTTAAAATATGTCTCCCAACTAGACAGTTTAACCTCTCAGTATATAAAAGCTAGTCTGCAAACTTATTATAGAATACTGTTCCCCAGCGCCTTGCCAGCCCGTTTAGTCCAACTTTATCTGATTAAAACTCAAAGTGGCAAATTACTCCACATGGAACGAAATCCAGTCTCTTACGAGACTTATCTTAGTTGTTTACTTTCTGCGATAATAACTTTTTGTATTAAACCAATATTATATGTTGATTTTAGAGCAATATTCGATTTTGAATGGCGCAGCAAAACCATCATCGAATCGTTCGTCTTCGGCTAGTCGCAAGCATCAAAAACAGAAATGGCTGTGCCATTTATAGATCCATCTCCGGCATTAATAATAAACATGGATACATATTTAGATCTACATCCTACGCTTTAGCTGGTATGTATGTGGAGGTTATTTCATGTTTATCACCGGTGATATGTAGGACTGGTTACTGCGGAACCCGATTGTGTTGATGTAAAAATGCTTAATCAAATTTCATACATAAACTAGCATTATTTTAAATATTCACAGTAAACAACAAGTTCCAACGGTTAAAAAACATATTTGTTAGTCAAACACACAATTAATTTATAGAGGGATTTTAAGTGATAAACTTTGTGGATTTGTGAATTTAACAAGAGTACAGTGTACAGAATTGCGTAAAACATAGTATGTTTTAACGATGCAGCCAGACTAACCATTTTATGGAAAAGGATTATTTTGTCTGTTGGGAATCTGCGAGTTCTTCCTAATACATTAGAAACCTTATGGTTCCAATGCACTCTTTCGAAGAAATGTGCTAAACTATGTTTCCAAGCAAGAAATAAATGGATTCTTTCGCTTATCATTTTAAGTTTTCCGCTAACTGATAATACTTATAGAGCTCTAAAACCGAAACACTGCAGTTGATCAGACATACAAAAGATCTGGGATGGTTGATGAAGATCAGTGATGTTTAATATTTTTGGAAGCGGAACAATTTAACTAAGTTTTAAAAA